TTAATAGAGATTTTATTAGGTCTTGAATAGTTTTTTCTGGGATCTATTCGGATTGTTCCAAAAGTTAGTAATTTTTGTAATCTTGTACTAATTTAATGTATTTTCTGAAGAATAATATTGAGAGCTTCATAAAGTTTGAATCTTGATGGTTGTAGAAGAGAGAGGAGTTTGAGATCAAGTACTTTTGTTATATATGATGGATCTTGATCTTTTAAGTTCTTTGTTAGTTCATGGTGTCTCAAGTTTAATTAAAGGTATGATATGATTGTAGTTTTGATTAAAGTTTCTTTTGAGCCACTTTGATATTTGAATTAACTTCGCCCTTGGTTTAGTGTTGCAGATAACTATATTATAATAAAAGATGATTTTATATCAACAAAATCTAGTTATGAATATTATGTATCTAACTTTTGTACTAAAGGTTTTTATAATTTACTTTATTTATTTTCTGCTAGATATTTTTCACTTAAACTTAAAACTCTAATGCCAACTTTCACTTGATCGATTTAAGTAGCAAATAATACATTTGATTTTGTTTTATATAATTGGTTTGGTGCAACCCCAAACTTTGAGAACCTTTGAGGATATAAATGTGGTTGGTAATCCGTTTGGATGATATGCAAAAATTCATTAAGGGCTCATTTGGTAACCACATAAATGAGTTAGGTCTAATTAAAGAACATGTTTTAATATGAAAGGTACTCTAATGATGTTTTAGTTACGTGGTGAAAAGCTTGACTTGGAGATGAATAAAAAGACTAGTCCTAACTAAAAAAAATAGATCGAGACCAAACTAGTCTAGAAAAAAGACCAGACCAAAAAATACAGACCCTGTACGAAATTGACCCGAGACCATTGAAAATTAGACTTGAACCCAAAGTTTGTATTCATGTCATTTATGTGTTAATCACGAATTACCCAATTTTTTTCTCTCCTTTCTTTTATTAAATTTTAATATATTATATTTGGTAAGTCTTAATGTATCATTTTGGTGTTAATCATACATTTGTTAACGAAAAAAAACCAAAAATACGCACACAAAAGACCGCAAGACCGGACAAAAAAAAAACGTCCAGGACATAAAGAGTGGACCATTTCGAGAATGACTGGCTCTGTGATACTTAATGTGGAGATTTTGGTAGAGTAAAAATAATCCATATAATTAGGCCTCGGGCCAACCTAAAAGATGTTTAGAAAACCTTTGCATAATGACAACTTTGACCATGTGTTCCAAACAATCAAAGATGTATGGTCTCGTGTTATTTAAACTCGTTCGTACTTTGTGGTAGCAAATAATATATTTGATAATAACTCGAATGTCCACTAGCGTAAGTTTGTTTGATTCCAATTTAGTTAATCTATCTATTTTCCAAGCCCCTCGTTTGCTTTAATTGCATTTAATAAAACGACATACTTTAGTGTATTTTGAATAAAATCGAGTCATTGAGATGGATTGTATTACTACAACTAATTTTGAATGTTATAATATGAGTTAACACTTATTATTATTTGGTAGTGTTAACACTTAAGTGCTTCAAATCTCCAATCCCTAACTCCTAAGATTGAAATAAAAGCCAATTATTATGAAATGACCTTTAGGTTTGAGAGAGTGGTACATGACGTCCCACGTTGTCAAATCAGTTTTTTGGTATCTACTTCACTGCCACGCCATTTTTGTCACAAAACATGCATAACATGTTATTTTGAAAGGTGAGCCAAATTTGTAAAGTTTGAAAAAAAAAACTAAATAAATACTCCCTCTGTCCCAATATTATTGTCCACAGACAAAAAACACACATATTAAGAAAAACATTAATTACCACTAACTTTATTTAATAAAATGACAGTTTTACCCTTACTTTGCATTTAATGTTCCATTAAATGCTTAGTTGGTTAAGTAATAATGAGAGAGTATTTTGGTAAAAATGTTATTTATTTTTAGAAGTAGACTATTATTTTAGGACAAACCAAAAAGGAAAGATGGACTATAATTTTGGGACGGAGGGAGTAAATCTCTCTCTCTCTCTCTCTCTCTCTCTCTCTCTCTCTCTCTCTCTCTCTCTCTCTCTCTCTGTGTGTGTGGCAATCCAATGCCACAAACCTACTTTTCCTTGCCAATGCCACAATGAGAGGATGGTGTATATCATGCTTGACATGGGTTTACCGAGCTAAATGTTGCCCCACACCCTTAAGCCTTATAAGGTGTCAGCCTGCTTCTATGTCATTTTGTCGCAAGGACACGAACACCCATGCAATCAACGCTTGTTTGCCCGATTTCTTGCTTCCCAATTTTTATCCGTTGTAGTCAAGATCGAGGTTACTAGATCGTCTTCCAACCACCATCCTTTATAGATTTTTGGTGGCGGTGATTTAAGTTTTGTAAGAGAAAAGAAAAAAATTCATGTATCTGTAAACTAAGAGGCTATATTGGATTTCGGTGGGCAATAATAAGTATCTTGAAATTGGGAAATGTAAAAAATAAATGTTGACATGCATTCTTTGATAGAAGTTGACATGTGACAATAGAAATTCTAGCTATATTGGAATCACATGTATCATTTCTCAAGACTTTTGTTTATACAGTGGGTTTTGACATAAGTCCAATTTTGGGTATGTTTGATCTTGATACTAAGAATCACATCAACTAGATTTATATCTATAATTTCAAACCTTGGTTTCAACATGTGCTTAGTTGACCTATTGACTTTTCATTGCTTTTAATGATAAGCTTGTCATCTATGCATAGATACACGATAACATACTACATGTATCTTTGATATAGACACACTTATCACATTTGTTGATTTTGGAACCACATTACATCATGACCTGGTTAAATATTGATGTCATTGTTTTAAAGTTTCTTTTAAGTTATATTGTGACTTAACATGTTTAAAAATTTTTATTTTCTTATCCGGAGTAATGAAACCCTAAGGCCGAACGGAGTCGTCGACGGGTTATAGATCGGCTTGGGGCGGTACCGACGGTACCGTCAGTTTGTGGTTCCTTCTCCGGCGGGTTGAGCGGGATGCAAGAATGATGAAGCTGGAACGGGTTCACTAACCCGTGAATCTTTCCCTCTCTGGTCTCAACACTTTCTCTAGTATCAAACGATTTACAATATTTCACCGAAGAAGGAGAATAAATAGAAACCCTAAATCTTAAGAGAAAAAGTGTGCTGTTCTTTTGAACTAATGTATATTGTGATTTTAGGTTTAGTATAATCAGGAACACATGCATTCGGCCCATATTTTATTTAGACAAAAATATACAAATTAATATATATATATATATATATATATATATATATATATATATATATTAAAATTAAAAATTAAATGGGTTGAGTGGGTTGGGAAAGATAGAGTTTCCATATGTTGTGGGTTGGGAGGGTTGGAAAAGAAAGAATAGAGAAAAACTGATGTGGCGCTGAGGTGGCAGTGGGTTGAGTGGGTGGGGAGGGTTGGAAAAGAAAGAATAGAGAAAAACTGTAGCGCTGAGGTGGCAGTGGGTTGAGTGGGTTGGGAGGGAAGGACTCCCTCCTCCCTAAGGTTGCTCCATTAAATCTCTTATTCTAAATCAACTACTTGTGAGGGGCTGAGGGTTAGTGCTTGCATGGATTCCAAAAGTGATTATCTAATAGCACACATGGGATTCGGGAAAGATAAAGGAAGTGACCATCTAATGATGAAGATAGTTTACATGGAAATAATGAAATATGAACGTGTAGTTATAACTACATATGTGAGGTACTTGGAGTTGTCACAAAGAACGTGTGAATGTGTATTATTACATATGTAATAGAGGTTCTATGATAGACGATGATAGTCGGTGATCGTGTAGCGAAACAATTTTGGATGCTAATTTCGTATTTATGTTCATTTAACATGATATTGATGTTGGAATGTAAGACTAACAATTATGAAGTGTGATGAGATGCAAATGAATGGAAGATGTTAACCATTAATATAAACGTTAATAATGTCTTAAGATACATGTCCTCATGGTAAGTAAGAAAGAAGATTAGTTCCAAATAAAAGAGTGTCTAGAAGATCCTTTTGTGGTGAAGACTAAGCAGCACATGACTATTGCCATGTTTATTTTACGTATTTGTTATGTTGAAATATACTTATATACATTTTTATATATTGGCTTACGTATGGAAGAACACCATACGTGAAACTAATTTATAAAAGGAAATTTTTGAGTGTGTTTCGATATTGAAATTCGGCTTTTACAACGATTTTGAAGACTATGGGTTTTTTGATTTGATCATGATTCGTTAACAAAGTTAACAATAACAGTATTTTTGAGTGTTTGAATAAAAATGTACTTATTAACTTAGATAAATAATTTTTAACAAGTATTTTTCTTAGAATTTATTTCAAAGCGTTTATAACTTATTTAAAAGTGTTTATTATAAATATAAACCAATTTATCATTTTATAATTGTATCAAGTCTGAAAATCATACGGATTATAAAATTATATTTTTGCAACAAACATACAAAACAATATGAAAACTTTTTTTATTGATTAATTTATAACTTTATCCAAAAAAAATTTATCACATTTCAAATACAAATCCGAAAAAATTTCTACACAATTTTTAAAAACCGATTTAAATCGGGAACCTGGGAAGGTCAATTAGCACAATTTTATGTTTATTTTTATACCAAAACAAACCGACTATTTTTTATAAAAATATGGTTGAACATATTAAAATGAATAAAAAACACATGTAAATGAGACATTTTGCCTAACAAACTTTGATGATATTTTTTATATTTATTTAAACTTTTTTTTTTATCACAGTATACATCTTTTATTTGATAACAAGTTGTAAATATTCTTTTGTAATTCTAGTTCTAGAAAATAAATATGAGAACTTTTGAATAAGAGATAATCAATAATATTTGACTTGAACACCAAAAAGTGAAACCAATATTTTACGAAAATTTCCAAATTTGCCACATAACTTTTTAAAGCTTATAATCCAAGGATAACTCCACAAGGTGACCTCCCTCTTCAACGGCGTTAACCCCTTTTCGTTTCAATTCCTCTCCCCGCTTTTGCCCTAATTCCATAATGCCCCCTCGATTCCTATGTCCTCTCCCTTCGTCGTCGATTTGATCTGAAAATCACCAGCGGAACGCCAATCATCGCTTTCCTCTCTCTCTACAAGCTCCCCAAATTTTACCTTAACCTGAAAACCCTAAGTTTCGATTCAGTCAAACAACTGCAACTGCAAAAGCAGAGCTACTAGGTAAGCTGCTTCCTTCTGTATCACTTTTTGCGTACTTTACGTTGATTCTGGAGGTTTCATAACTCTGGCTGACATTCTGTATGTAATTTTGGGGAATTTCTAGCCTTTATTGGTGTTTCTTGCTGAACTTTTAGCTGTATTATTTGTTTTGTTGGTTGATTTTTTGTCTTCCCCAATACGAACTATACTTTGTGTTTCGACGTGGAATGAGTTGCTTCTCAAGGGAAAAGTTATGTAAAACATTAAGCTTATACCAACTACTACGAATTGAACAATGTTGGTGTTAATTTCACCAAATTTCGTAATTGACATATACTAGAACCGACTTTAAAAGCCAATACTGTAGCTTTGTTTTGTTGGTTGGGAACTGAGCTATGTATGCAGTTTTCCATACTTGAAGCCCTCACTAAAGATAGATGGTCAAAGATGTCTCCTTCCCCATTTATTCCCTCTAGGTTAACCTTTTTTTTTGCTTGGCTGTGTTTGTTTCTGTAGGTTTATGAAATGGCAAAGGGTAAGCTTATATTAATCTGTCAATCTGGTGGTGAATTTGTTACAAATGAAGATGGAACCATGACTTATAATGGAGGAGAGGCAAATGCAGCAAATGTCAATTCTGAGACTCCCTTCAGTGAATTAAAGTTGAATTTAGCTGAAACATGTAATTTCAACCAGGAAACAGTTACTGTCAAGTATTTCCTTCCAGGAAACAAACGAAATCTGATTACAGTGAAGAACGATAAGGATGTAAAAAGAATGATTGATTTTCATGGAGATGCATTGACAGCTGAAGTCTTTGTTACAGGAACACCAGGTTTTGATCGAAGTGCCTTAGATACACAAACTAACAGGTATGTTCTATCAAAAAAGCACATTTACATCATTCTACTTTCATTTCTTCCTATTTCTTTAATCATACTGATGATCCTCACAGCCAAAGCAATACCAAGAACAATGAGACTATAAACAATGACAACACAAGTCCCAAGAAAGATGATGTGGTCAAACGAGGCAAAGTTGGTAACAAGAAAGATAAAAAGGTGAAGAAAGAAGATAAGGGGCAAAAGAGTCCTTTAGCATCCCCATCTAAGAGGACAACACGCCGAACTGTAGCTGCTAAAACTGAAGCATCTTCTAATGAAAATGAAGAAAAAACCGAAACAAAGGTGTCAAAGGATGAGGGGTCCACAGGAGACACCTCCACAAGTGCTGATTCTGAACAAGTCAACATCAATCAAGATTCTGATTGTAGTTCCGATTTTGTCCCTAGTAGGTATCCCAAAAGGAAGAAGCCAAATGTCAATACTACCCCTGCTGACAGTGTCAAGAAACGTAGGCGTACCCCTTCTTGGAAATTTGGCGCCAATGGCCGCCCCACCATAGTTTCTAACCCCGATGATTCCGTGGGGTCCAAGGGTAAAATTGGAAAATCACAAAGAAAGAGTGGGAGGTTAGCTGCTAAAGAGGGAGCAGGGACCAAATCAGGGAGAAAAAGAGGACGCCCTCGAGCTGTCCCTCCACCTGACAGCAGTGATCAAGAACTTGATGATGACGTGGCACCTGAAACTTTGCTTCATATTGTCAAAGTGGAAAAAGAAAAACTTCATGGACATGAAGAATCTTACAACAAGTTACCATGGTTCTGTGAGAAGATTCTAGAAACAAACCCTGGAAGCATCTCAAAACTCGTGATTAATGACAACAAAAGATTCAAATCCCTTTTTGTCTCTTTTTTCGCTCCATTATCCGGATTCCAAAACAGCTGTCGCCCACTTCTTTTCCTTGAATCCACTTCCCTAAGGTCAAAATTCGGTGAATTTATATTTACAGCAAATGCCATTGATGGAAATGACGGTTTTTTCCCTGTTGCATTTGCCATAGTAGACACTGAAGACACTGACACCTGGCGTTGGTTCTTGGAAATTTTAAAATCCACAATCTTGACCCCACAACCTATCACTTTCGTGTTTGATAGAGACAAGAATTTGAAAATCACCATACTTGAAGTTTTTGAAAACGCATATATCGGATATTCAATTTACCATTTGTTAGAGAGCTTCAAAAGAACTGTAAAAGGTCCGTTTCATGGTGATGGTAAATCTTTTTTACCTGTTCACTTTTTAACCGCAGCACATGCGGTCCGATTAGTCGGTTTCAAAAAGTCAACCGAACAAATTAAGCAAATTTCATCACAAGCTTACGATTGGGTGATGCAAATTGAGCCACAACATTGGACAACTTCTTCCTTTGAAGGTGAAAGATATAACCACATTGTAGATGATATAAATATAAACGTATCAATCTCAAAGTTAATGGAGGATTATCGGGAATTACCCTTGTTACAAAAGATTGATGCTTTGATACGTTTTATGATTGATGAGATGAATGATGCGAATTTGGATGCGAGTATGTGGGGGACACATCTTACACCTTCTAAAGAGAAACAACTTCAAGAAGAGAATTTGAGATCTTGTGGTTTGAAAGTGTTGATTTCTTCTGATACCCTTTTTGAGGTTCGTGAAGATTCGACTCATGTTGTGAATTTGAGTAACTGGAGTTGTACTTGTTTAGGGTGGAAAGAAACCGGTTTGCCATGTAGACATGCACTTGCGGTTTTTGCTTTGATTGGTAAAAATCCGTATGAGTTTTGCTCGAATTATTTTACGGTTGATGCGTATCGTATAACGTATGCGGAATCTATAGCCCCGGTGCCAATTGAGAAGGAGGAGAAGGTTGAAAAGATAGAGATGATAACTGTAGGGGGTGAAAATGTAGATGTTGAAAAGATTGAGGTTGTGGAAGAAAAGATAGGCGAAATTGAGAAAGAGGAGTGGGAAAGGGTAGAAGATGGGCTAAAGAGTGAAAAGGTTGAAGTTGAGGGTGAAAAGATGGAGATGGAGAAAGAAGGGGGTGGAAATGAAGAAAATGAACATGGTGCGAAAGTAGGGGGTGAAAATGAAAATGAAGAAGATGTGAAAGTAGGGGGTGAAAATGAAAATGAAAATGAAGAAAATGTGAAAGTAGGGGGTGAAAATGAAGAAGATGTGAAAGTTGAAGATGTGAAAGAAGGGGGTGGGAATGAAGAAGATGTGAAAGAAGGGGGTGAAATTGAAAATGAAGTAATTGTGGAAGTTGAGGGTGGAAATGTGGAAGGTGAGAAAGAAGAGGGTGAAAAGTGTAAGATTACGAAAGAAGAAGATGAAGTTGTTGTGTTACCTCCAATACCTGTAAAACCAGCTGATGAAGTGAAGGAGAAGATGGAGTGGGAAGAAACAGAAGTGGAAACAAAGAGAACAGTGACGTGTACAAAGTGTAAGCAGCCTGGGCATAATAAGAAGTCTTGTAACTTGTATCAGGTGCAACAAGCTTTGATCAACCAGGTATGATTATGAATGATTATGGATTTATGGTTCTTTGTATTTATGTACCATAATGGAGATGTTATTTGAGGTTGAATGTCTGTCTTTGTTTAAGAATATTTGGTTTAGATTTATATTTTGTATACCCTTTGGACTTGTTAGATTTTTTTTTTTTTTTTTTTTTTTTTTTTTTTTTTTTTTTTAAAGGTCGAGTCTTGGAAGAAATAATTTTAGGAAAAAGACGGTGAATAAATACTTTCTTTGTAATCATGATGAATACGAGAAACTTTTAGATCGTATTTGTATTATGTTGATTTAGAATGGTTCGTATATGATGAGCAACTATAGCCTATGGGGCCTAAATGCGTCCCTAGGTTACATATCATAGTTGGTTTTGGGGTGATATATTTATAGAAATCGAAAGGGTTCGAAATTTAATTGTTGTGGTGTGAGTTTCAATTCTATTATGGACTGGTATGCAATCGTTACAATCCTTCAACACAACGCTATCCACTCACAAGTCAACAATCCTATTTATACTCCCAACTCAATTTATTGGAGGACCGGCGGTCGACAACAACCAAAACCTCTCAAACACGCCAACTCATCATTATACCAATTCTTGGTTTCTTTTACATTAAATCTTTAGTAATAAATAATAGATAGAATTTGACCACATACATTAGTTTTTATCTGATGGTAGGGGTGTGCAAAAAAAACCAAAACCAAACTAAAAACCGAAAAACCGAAACCGAAAAAATCGAACCATTTGAAAAACCAATGGTTTGGTTCCGAAAAAAAAAAATTTGAATCTAACTAAAATACACAAAATAACGTCGTTCTATATATAAATATCACACTATTAGTAAGGTAATCCATAAAATAAAAAAAAAATTAATATTTTATTGTGTAGGTGAAGGTGAAACACGTATATGATATAATATGTTAGAGGGTTAAAAGTCTAAAAAGATTTAAATTACATACATCTTATATCGATTGTGAGATTTAAAAGCGATTTGATACTATAAATGAAGGAAAACAGTTAACTCAACGATCCCACGATGATTATAGAACGCATATAAAAAATAGGTTCCATTTTTTTTTAAGTTTACGATATTCCATATTGTTTAAATGGATGAGACATATTGGATATTTATATTGGAGTATATATTAAATAAGTATAAGCTTTTAAAATCCAATGAACCGAGTCTAATAATTTATTAACTAAAAAACCAAAGAAAACCGAAATATAAAACCGAAAAAAACCGACGGTCTGGTTTTTCCAAAATAAAAAATTGAGCTTTTTGGTTCGATTTTGATTTTAACGAAAAATCGAACCAAACTGTATCATGCTCACCCCTATTAAATTGAATATCAATTTGTGTAGGTACGTCCGTTTCTTTCCTAATTTATACAAAACATGTATAATAATTATTTGTTATTTAAATTGAAACTAATTATATTTATATTATTTAATATATAACAAAACATGTAAAAAATATTTTTTATTGAATTAAATTTTAGCTGATTTTAAATTATACAAGAAACTTATGCATGTACCATTATATATATATATATATATATATATATATATATATATAATAATATTTCAATCAATTAAAAGATATTTTGAAACATTATAAATTGATTGTTGATGTGACAATGAAGTCCATTTTGAAAGATAATTATTATTGTATTGATGTAAGTTGTAATTGCAAAATCTGATGTGACTCATTTGAAAGATTAATAGTATTCACAGATGTAGATGATCTTACGATATACGATTCTTTTGGAATAATCATCAGATTAAGCCTCTCACCACGATCGATCGAAGGACTCTATGAATTAATTATTATTTTTTCAACGGTAACAAAATAACCGATTCATAATAAACTGACTCTTGTTTTTTACGTAGCCTTTTGATTTTTTATTTCACTTTCTGTGTTCTAATTTCTGATTTCAATCTTTCTCTTAATACATCGATGATAATAATCCAATTTCATGCATCCTTAAAAGAAATGATCTTCTATTTGTGTTAGTCTGATTTCAGGTTGCCTCACCGATTTGATTTCTGATTTCTAAATTTAATCCGATTTATGATTCAGGTAAATTGTAAGATTCCTTATTGTTTTTCACTTATTTCATGTTAGTTTTCTGATAAAAAGTTGATTTATGTGTTTTCTTTATGATCTTTTTTTTGTAGATAACTTAAAACTTCAATAACACAAGTTTTGAAATCTTTGTTGATAGAGCCTAGAAAAAGATTCAAAATTCATTATCCTTGTTGTTGAAAACGATTCTGAAAATGATTCAACATTACAAGTCCACAACTAAATGTATTTCGTTTCCTTTACTTGTCTTTTTCTTGTTTTTTTTATAAGTTTAAAATAATTACATGTTGCTTAAAAAACATTTCTGGAAGTGATAAAAAAACGAACAACTAATATTATTACAAAAATGATCGAATGAGAAATTTATAATAAGAGTTTCTTTTAAAAAAAAACAAAAACCCACATTCCTTTACTAGTTTTTTGATTGTAAAGGCATCTTCGACACTATACAAAAATAATATTTTTTACATAATTTTGATGTGGAGTCATCTCCAACCCCACTCCATTTTCCACACAATTTTGGAGTAAAGGGAATAATATAACACCAATTTTGGTTTTATATTATTCATTTACATCAAAATTGTACATGTCACTTTTAGTCTTTCTTCTTTGATCCTTATTTAGTTTTAATCATATATTAACTTTTTATTAGTTAATTATAATTATAAAAGTTAATCTAAATTTATGTTATAAATTAAATTGATATTAATTATTCATAAATATAAAACTTAATTTTAATGTTTTAAATTTATGTAACTTTTTTAATTAGCAAATACAATTCTACTAAAATAACATCTATTTCGAATTAGCAATATACAAATAATTAATTTGGTTATAATTTTGTAATAAATATATTTTATAAAGTTTTCTCAAAAACAAGATGTATATAAATATGTTGAGAACTAATTAGTTGAATGATGTATTTGACAAATCTATATAAATTAATAAAAAAAATATATTATGGAATATTCTTTTTGGTGTAAAATATGGTGTAAAAAATTATGTAGGTTTGGAGATAGTCTAAGTTTTTATTTATTTATTTTTTGTTCGGGACCTCGAATCAACTTGGAATATCATCTTTTTGATGAAATTCAAGATGTCGGAGTTCGCGAACTTAGAGATGAATTTGAAAAAAAAAACATATGGAATTCGCTAGAATGATCGATCACGGAAATAAAAGTGTTAATGTAATACATGAGTCATCTATTTGGGAAGGATTTCAAAGTGGCTTTGAAGGTAAAAGTTGTGATTAGAGAAAAATTAAATAGTAATATTTACCATTTACTTGCTTATTGTTATGTTTTAAATGTTTTAGTTTTTTATTATGTAATTCTGAATTTTAATTAATGAAAATTTAAAATTTTAAGATAAATGAAAATGTTAATGCTATTTGTCATTTATGAGTATATGATGTGTCAAAAGTTCATTCATGGGAACAAAATGGTCCATGTCAATTGCTCTTTTTATTTTTGACCTTTTGTGTGTGTAATTGAAGTACGATTGTTTTTATTCTAAACGTATCATTACATTTCGTGAATGTCAATTTCATGTTGGTGCACCCTCCATGTGTAATCATATATTTTCAGCAAATTCGTTTAGATAATATGTTATATCAGTTTTTATTTTATATAATATATTGTTAACGTCAAACATGTCTTGATATTCATTTATAGAGAACATTTCTCATTCATTCTTTGTATTTCTAGTATACCATACCAATTTGAAGAACAAATACAATGTCAAAGTTCAGTCCTATGAGATTCATTATGGAGTAATTTGATAGAAGGATGACTCTAGTTTATGGAAAGTTCAAGTTAAGACGTGTTGATTTATATAGATTGTACAAAACATTGAGAAGGAAACTAAACCATGTTTCTATCAAGGATTCAAGCGGGACCAATAAATTCAATGATGAAGAACATGCTACTTTAGATCTGAGAGTGACACGTGCGATGTATTTGTGTAATGAAAAGAATATTCTTACAAATATGCATGACATATCAACAAAAAAGAGCTTTGGAAGAAAATTGGACTATTGTATCAAGTCAAAGACATATTGAATCGGTTATAGCTCAAGGAGTAGTTTCATACTCCTTGTATAAATGAAGGTACAAAAATTTCAGAACATCCAAGTGTTCTTAATAATATTGTAGTAGAGGCTACTAGAGTAAAAATGGAAAACAAAGATAAAGTATTAAGACTTATATTATCTTTGCTACCTATCTTTTGAGTGCATGAAGCATATTGTTATGTGTGGGAAAGAGACCCTAAAATACGTAGATATTACTTGTAAATTCATGTACAGGGAAAAAGACTCAGATGGCAGCACTTATAACTTGTTAGAAAATACGATTTTGGTGTGAAAAGTCTTACCATGTCAAAAGAAATTGCCTAGATGGAGCATATTCGACTTCGGTACAACTAACATTTCTTTATTATTAACAATAGTTTTTTTATTAGATTTGAAATCTTCATGGTATGTTCGCGCTACTATAGAAAACGATATGTTTTGTTGGTAGATTCTTGGACTTACATATGCATTGGTTTTGTATAAATGCAAGATGTGTAATGAAAATTGATGTCCGTTGTTAATGAATTTATGAGTATGCCGAATGGGGAGCTGTATCATAAGTACTTTAGCAAAGTTCACATGTGACGATGGCAAATTTGTTGTAACACCCTATTTCTAATGGTGTTTTTCCATTCTTTAGTTGGAGGTTTTATAGTCCAAAGTGTTAGAAATTCAGGGTAATAAAGGTACTTGGATATTCTGAGAATTGTGATTTCACTATCAAATCAAAGTATTGGGTGGTACTCCCTAATCTTTGATTGGATAAGACTCAGAAGAGAATAGAACAGAGAATGAGATATATGAATTTCGTAAGTACCAGAAAAAACTGACCAAAATTGGTTAAATATCTCATTTGTCTGAGAACTGTCAAAACTATCATAAAACAGTTTGACAATAGTCAAAAAACTGTCATAAATCTGGGTTTTCTATAAGGATTAATACCAAGCCAAAAAACGGGTCAAATATTCTAAATTTGGATTTTTGATGCA